AAGTTATTAATCAAATTAAAATTAAAATACCAATATTAAAAAAAAGTGAAATTTTAACTTATATATATAAAAATTAATACAGCATCTTGTAATATGTTTTGTCTATATTCGAATGTACATCTTTACAAACATTCACATTTGCTATATTAGTATGTAGGCTCTTTTTCTATGTACGATGGGTGAAATACTGCAGTGAAATTACTGAGTACAGAGACATAACACCTTTTCTCACCTTTCCCATAAATAAGAAATAGCAACGCATAAACATAAAATACATTGTAATACCGGCGGCACCAGGATGTTACAATGTATTTTATTTCTTCTGTAATTCTGCTTATTTATGTGAATCACGGTCAACACTTTCCATCAGATGGGTCGTTGGGTTAATTTCTATTCCAATAACGTAAAACAGTTGATTATTTTTATAACATATTAATCTGTCTACTAAAGAAACTTTCATCGAGTGGTGGCTCCGCTGAAAATCAGCGCTGCAATGTTTCAGCTTATAGCGCAATATTAGTATTCTTGTCTTTAGCTATACTGAATAAATTATTATTACTGTTATTACAAGTAGTTTGCGTCCCTATCATTTTGCTAACAATTAGTGGTATAATTGTGAGCAAATATTATTAGTTTATACTAATGATTATTATTGTAATATATAATCATCAATCAATAATAAATTAAATTATTTAAGTCGAAGTATTTTCTTAATGAAACAGTAACTGACAATATACTCCATTTGACAAAATGCGTTTGTAAAAAAGTTTGTTTGTTTTTATAAGGAAAAAACAATGTTTTTAGTCTAAAACGACAGCTATTAGTCATTTGTTATAAATAATATATTCCTAATACATAAATAAACTGTTCAATATTGAGTCACAGTAATTTAATATTGATGATTTTTTACTGTAAAAATGAGGGACGTAAATATATTTCTTTTTAATAAATACATAGCTTAGATGGCAAATGAAACCTCAAGGGGGAAAGGGTATTATTAGTAATGTGGACCAACCACATTGCTAGCAAAGTACCATGTCAACCTACCATGTTAACCTTTACGCAGTTCCCCTGGAAACCATCGTAATAAACTCCTGGTGAATTTGTCATGATGTGCTAACTGATCTGACCACATGTTCATCTTATGATCCTCCACTGGTGCCCCGCTAGGATAACAGCGTAAACTTTTAGCGCAGGCTGGTGAACCATTATATTATCATCTATAAAGAAAAACCTCTGTTCTAAACAATGTATCTCAATGTCATCAAGAGAACACTTTCGCTATTGTGGAGGTCGACACAGCCACGGGCGCTGGCGTCGCCATTGATCCATAGACTATCAGTTTTACTTTCACTCGTTCATCAAAATATGGTAATTTTACAAGTAGAAGATCGTATAGTATGTAGATCACATATAATATGTTATCTTTATAAAGTATGTACATTAGCATGAGCAAATAAAAATTATCTCACCAACTTGAACTTAGTACAAAGTCTGTCTGATTTGTTTCAACTGCCAAGCAGCTTGCTTTATATGTGTTCCGGTTGAAGAGTGCGATAAGGCAGTGAAACTACAGGTTGCGGAGGCATGATATCTTTATCTTCTGATATGGCATCGTGAAAGGTACGTTCACGGGTATCACCTGATACTGTGGTGCTTTTCATGTACATACGCGACGGTTACCACTTACCATCAGGTGGGTCATCAGCTTGTTTACCATTTAGTTACATAAAAATCCCAATTTTTGCACTTTTAATTAAATTACTAAACACATCAGTATTTATATAACGTAAATTGGTTTAAGGAGTACTAAAGTGGTTCATCCACTTTAGTACTCCTTAAACCAATTTACGTTATATAAATACCACCTTTTAAGCTCTTATTAAATTAAATTACTATAAACACATCAAACATACAACAAATTGGTTTTAAGATCGAGATGAATAGAAGAAGAAACGCGAGTGTAAGGTTACTCCTTGTTTACACCTGTAGGCATATGCAGAAAGACAAAAGTATATAGTTAGTAGTATATAATATATTTTTTATTTTTACTCGGATTAGAGATCCGATAATTATGTAAGTACATATTATATTTTAAAATATTAACCAACATTTTATATATATGTAGAGAATATACTACACAGAAATATATACGAGAAGAAAACTATTCTGTCGTGCAAATAAAAAATAAAGAAGTGACTCAAAATATCCTATATGAATAAGTATTTTTGAGTCTGTGTTAAATAATTCAGTTTCTCTTTACGGCGTTAAAAAAGCTGAAAGTCATACTATCAAGGTCAGGAAGTCAATGTGTTTGTTATTAATGTTGTCACTTGTTCACGGAAACAGGTTTCGTTTTGTTACTACCTCCCAAATTCCACCAAAACAATGTGTTCGCCACATTTATAACTTATCAGCGGTGTAAATCCCTTGTACATATATTTGTAATAACTTATTGATAGCATAATTTTAAAAATATCGTGGCCTTGTGGTTTGCTATCCGACAACAACCGAAAAGATCGCGGTTGATATCGTCAATACCAAAAATAACTTTATGATAGACTAATTAACAAAAATGTAAGAATTTAAGTGATGTTGACTGTACTGTACATGCATGCAAAATTTCTACGTAGAGTGATACTATACATTACTTACCTACCTGTCTAACATGATACTAAGACCTTTCTACCAATATCAACTAAAACCAGATGTGAGTGACAGCGATAAGATCAAATACATAATACGTAAGGCAGTTGTCCTACATGCAGCGAGAAATCAGAATTATGACAAAGCATTTCACGTTTTTACATAAAAGTAAAGAAACATTGTAAGTAGTGAACTATCTTGAAACAACAAAATTATAGTAGACTGAATTTCGGACGGAATTTGTTTTCAATTGTATATTGGTTCATATTTTTTGTTAATTGGTATAATGTTTATCTTTTTTTACTGAAGCGGATGTATCTGATTTACCTGATTAATGAAAGGTATTATGGGTTTTGTGAGGAAAAATGCGGAGATAATTGAAAATGCAACTAGTATGACAGCGATGTATAATAGATTATTACAAAAAGAAAGTCGCTGTCGCCTATGTATGTTTAAATCATTAAAATTTTAAAAGATTTTGAAGCGCTTTTTTAATAGATAGAGTGATTCTAGATGAAGGTTTATATATATAATAAATGTACACCTGTGCGAAGCCGGAGCAAGTAGCTAGTAAAATTTAAAAATAAAATAATATCCATCAAGCAATATGCTTATATACTTATATGTTCCATAATATGTCTGTCCAGTGCGACGGTTAATTAGTATAGAATGCCATCAGGCATTAAGTCCGCCAGGTATTCAATTTTATGTACCTACAGCAGAATAAATAAGTATTTATTTCGTATCATTATGTACAGCTTAATGATACGAAATAAATACCTATAGTTAATTTTTGTCTATGTATTTTTATACTTTATTACAATAACCTGATATATGGATTTGTGTAATACACACCTAAATCCATAAAACAATTTCATTACACGTATTAGTGAGCGCGAAATGACGAAAGATGTTTCATAAATCAATTAGGTACTTTCCTTAAATACTCAAAATTACACTTAATAAATTTACAACAGTGTACAATTTTAATTGATAGAAAACTTCCATATCAAATATAATGTCATCGTAAATTATTTCCTCGTACATTGGAGATCTAAGCGAACGGCAATCAAATCGCTTTCTCGCTGTCAGTGTGACCAACTCACAAAACACATACTAGATCCACTAGCAATTTTCATGACCATCACGTTTATCTTCTTATCTCGGTCTCAGATGTATCTACTGGCACTTGTCATATGTTAAATGATAATAATGCTTATATATCAACAAAAGATATAGTTTTACTCTAAATACCTACATCTGCATAAATGTTTGTATCTATGTAAATTTTCCTGTTTTCAAAAAATAATAAGGAAACCTATTTATAACAAACCTTTTAAGAAAGAGTAACGCCCAGTGTTTTAGAGTTTCGATGCCTGGGCAATGCGATAGATCTAGGTGTATATCTATCACAGGTTGTATATACATATAATACAAGCTCACACAAAAATACTGCATATACAGTATAATAAACGTGACATGAGCCCCATTTACTTAAATTCACACTCACTATGTGGATAGTGGTAGTGTGTATTCTCAAGTAAACTAGATACTACATAGTGAAGATAAAATAAATTCCTTGTTAGAAACATTTAAAATTCTAATGTATGCGTTTCTCTTTGCTGAATTTTACATTTTATTAACTTTATTTAGGTCAAATACATAAGCATCTATGTGAAATATGATAGGTATTAATTAGTTGTCATCAGCAATATTGCAACACTAGTTTTAGGTATTTGTTGAAATATATACTATACTAGCTACGTCCGCAATTTTATACCGATTTTGTACCTATTTGGAATAAATTAACTACAATGTAATTTTTTTAACCCATTGAAATTAAACAAACACGAAAGATATGTTACAAATTCTATTCGAATCGGTTAAGTCTTTTTTAATAATAATAATAACTTTAAATAATTGTGATTAACGTCCGCAAAATCAAAGCTAAACAGAAAAAACTACATTTTTAATTTTACGTAATTAGTATTGATTATTAAGTAGGTATAACTTAACTATAAATTTCAAACTTTTACGAAATATAGGCACAACACGAATACAGTAGGTTTTTTTATGTATGATAAACTACTAATGTATTACACTCGTTGTAATGCCTCATTATATCTGTTGGTATATTTGCTTATTAAGTCTATTGTTTACTTACTACTCTTTAGGATAATAGTAAATAAATAAGTACTTTATTACTGTACTCGATTAACTAAACTACGTTTGTTTACGAAACAATTGTTACAATCAGCATGTCAATAATGAAATCGTTAGTAGTGCCGTAATGGCTCTAAGCAATCTCATTTACAGTTTTGTATTCATTACCTTATTTGTTTCTTTTATTACAGATCTTATCAGTGGAATCATGATATCATCGTTATCAAGAAAAGACACATCTGAGACGAGAGCTTGCGACGTTATTTAAAATTGAGATGTCGATCTGTTAACATCAAATATAGAACTACGGAGCCTTGAAGAATACTATTTTGGTGACTAGATTTCGAGAAACGTCAATAACAAACATATTACAAGAAAATACAAGTTTCAACCTAAAGAAACACTTCGATTTAGTGTCGTCATTCATTCTACACGTGTGTGGTGTGGACATTTATTTAAATTTATACAAAATGGCAAGCACCGGTAGTGAAATCTGGCTGCAATGGTTCGCGTGCTGTTACCAGCCGGCTGCGCAGGCGCAGCGCACCCGCCGGAGAATAGACAGATCTATGATCGGTGCACCGACAAATTTTCAACACACAGGACATATAGGTGAGTTAATTTTTATTGTTTTAATTCCAAATACATGGATATCGAAGTCCACTTCACAAAAAAAGTTTTTCTATCAGTTGTCTTGTACCCATAACACAAGCTCTTCTTAGCTTGGGACTAGATGGCTCTGTGTGAGTTGTCCTGAGATATTGTTATTAATTAATTATTTTATTCTAACCAATTTGAAACCTTTTAAAATAATTAGATGTATTTTTGTGGATTTAATTCTCAAATAATTATTACGAAAACAATAGTATAAACGATGACAAACTGCCATGATTATTTACTGTGCAATCATTTCAGATAATCATTCTTGCGTATTGTGTACACAAAGCACGAAGTTAAACAATTCGCCGAATTTACATAATCGTAATATGAATTCGGCGAATTATTGAATAACGTACATTCTACATATTTACATTTTATCGTTTTGTAGAATGCAATATATGTAAGTAACTCTAACTCTACTATTTACGTGACGTTAATATCTTTTATGTTGGTAATATAGTAAAAATACTAATGAATAACGGCAATTTCAGCCTCGGTGGTTTAATGGTTTAGCACATCATCTTACTTCCAATAGTCGTGGGTTCGTTTCCTTGCACGGTACAAACATTCTTATTCATGAGTATGATTGCTTGTATCAGTTTGGGTGTTTCTATGTATATTATATATGTATTTATATCAGATGTCTAGTACGCATAATAAAAGCTCTGCTTAATTTGGGACTAGATGATGTTATGTGAATTACCCTGAGATATAAAAAATGATTCATAAAGCTATATCTAAAATATAGTCACATAGCTCTTCAAATGGGAAACGCTGCTAGTATCTTCGGAACCTTGCCTAAAGTTACATTTTAATTTTTAAGTATAATTTCCTCTCCCGAATTGGATCATAATATTAATTTATTTTAATACAGATTTATTTATTATATAGTGTTTTACAACTACAATGTTTGCTTTTGAAGTAGTATATCATGCGTTTCATTTAATATTTCCTCATGATGCGATTTTAATAGCATATATATATATATATTTTTTTTAATTATATGTATATTTAAACATTATATTCAATGTATTATAGTAGTAGTAATTATATATATTACTATTTAATGTCTATTAGTAATTGTTATACATAAACACAAAACTCAAACCCAACTGATGGCCCATCAGATCAAACTCATAACACAACGATAATTGAGGTCCCACGGACTAAGTTATTACTTCTCCGTAGACTGTAAGCTCACTGCCACAACTGTAATCCTTCAAACCTGAACACAGATTTCAAAATGGTGACAGCAGAATTAGGTAATAATAATAACAATACCCCTGGACAATTCACACAATGCCATCTCGTCCCAAGATAAACAGAGCTTGTGTTGGGTACTAGACAATAGATATACCTAAATACTTAGATATTTTCTGTAATACATACATAATATACATAGAATAAAATAATAATGTAGACAATTTTAAAAAATCACTGCCTCTAGAGGTTTTTTTGAAAACAAATCGTAGTTTTCTATTTGTTCAATGGGTGATAATGAAACCGTACTCCTACACTAACGGTATATGCTGTCAAGGCACCACTAGAGGATGATAAAATGTGTATAAAGTCAGTTTAGTAAACACATCGTAGTGTATTCGACAGGAATTAACCACGACGATTTCCAGGGATGACCGTGTGGAGGTCGACATGACATAGTAATATACGTTACTAACGAAAGTGCTACTGGTCCCCATTACTGAGTTACTGATAGTTTCAGCCTTGGTGGTCTAGCGGTTTAGCTTTATTTCCGATGGTCGCGGGTACGATTCCTCTCACGGCACAAACATTAGTATTCATGAGTATGATTATTTATAAAGGTCTGGGCGTTTTCTATTTATATTATTGTATGTATTTACAAAAAATATATCTATGTATTTATATTAGTTTTCTAGTACCAATAACACAAGCTTAGCTTGGGTCTAGATGGAGCTGTGGAAATTTTCCTAAGATATTATTATTTTCAATTCCACCTATGTCCATAGTCCGTACCCTTAACGTCAAATGAATACGTGATGTATATATAATACAGTTAATGTAGTTATTATTTACTACCAGACAGGCCGTCAGCTTGCTTGCTATAAAAAAATTTAATTATTTTAGTGTCTTATACTTAATAATTATCAAGCCAATCATTGCCTGCATCAGGATAATTAGATCAATAGAATTAATGTACAACATCATAATCTAATAAGCCCACTTGATCGATAACTATCACTAACATAGATGCTGATTAGGTATACTAACAATGTTACTGATTACAGAGTTTAGTCTAGCTTTATCAAGGTACTAAATAATAACACCATTTGTCTGAAACACAAAGGCAGACCTACTAATACACCTAATATAATAGTTATTACTAATAACTTATTAATAAACAATAAACTTAGATTTTCATGTTTTCAAATCTACATAGTCTCACACTCACAATTATTTTATAACATTTTTTTATGTAAATACCGTACTGTGTATGCGTTCATATGAATTTTATTTTATGCTGTTTATTTGAAATTACAAACTACCTAATTGTCTAAATGTCGTTTAACTATAGTTAGTAATTTTTATGGTAATTACGTAAGGTTTTACAACAAAATACCAGAATCTGTTATAAATCTGCCTCACAAAAGATTTAAATGTCATATAAAACACTTCCTTGCAAAAAAGCTTATTATAAATTTGATGAATTCGTTAACGACAATAATGTTTTTATAGAGAAACTTAAAATACATAGCACTGACAATATTATCTGATTACACTAATAATGAGTGCGTAGCGATTTTTATGTTGATTATCCCATGCCTCTTACTTGTTGTACTGTAATTATTTATATAAAAAAACATGTATTCAAAGAGCAACACACAAGTTTCTTGGTCATTCTTCTTGTGGTGAATCTGCATTCCGAATGAGTGGTAGAATCAAAATGTGACTATTCAAAAGTGCTTGTAATGAGTTTATTTGATTAAAGATTATTGCTATTTCAGACATTTCAATTTTATTTATTTGTATAGATCAGCAGTTGACAACTAGGTATTGAAATGCTGTATAACCTAAAGTTGTTAAAAATAAAAAAAATACTTGATGAGATCTCTATCAATGTCATACAATGTAATTATAAAGTCATCTTTTCTTAGGGCGTCCCCTCCCTTTACTATTCTATTAGTTACGTTACTCAATCTGTTATATGCAATGTAATTATGTAGGCATGCAGATACTGCTATTTAGTTATTTTCATATTCTTAAAATTTTTAGATGATTTGATCGTAGAATAGGAATGTACGGAATGGCCTAACTTGAATCATTTTAAAGAAAAATTGAAAATATAGGTACATATTTACACAAAAATAGTAAGTATAGAAAATAGCATACGAGTCAGAGCGTCCACCTCGTTAGTATGCGATGCACTCACCTGTCGTACTCGGGCAAACCGACAGATGGGAATACACCGTCGTAACCAGTATCCTGACCCCAAAGTAATGTGTAATATTTTAAAAAGTATATATTTCTTATGTTGAGGCACAAATGACACTATGAATGGTAGTACAAAATACTAATGTACAGGACTGCTTACACTCGAGCCGCCGCCGCCGGCTGCCACGACAATTCCCTATTTTTAAATATTTATATTTTTATATTGGTTGCTATGGTTTTGTTATCATTCCTTCTATTGCTCTTGGTTTCCTATATAGTTTGTTACGATATATATTTTTATAATATACTGTTACTTTACCTATTGCGCCTTTAATTACCACCATTGTTGGCTGCACCGACCCCAGCGGCCTATACACAGTCCCACACAACTAGATTTTAAAATTAGGAGCAATAGGCATAGCAAGATATTAGAATAACTTATGTCCGTCCTCGTGAGGTTCAGCTGTTTAGCCATAAAAAGGTAACAATCATACAAACACACATTTGTATTAGTATGAATGTACCGATTATTTAAATAATTTCTGATATTTACTTTTACATATATTTGTGTATTTTAAGATAATTTATTTTATGTACAAATTTTGTTAACATAAAAAGTAATTCTACATTGTGTATTCAGTTAATTGAACTTCCGTAAAAAAAATGCTGATTCAATAAAATGATTACGTAGAACCTTTAGATGCACATTGAAATAACACTAAATAAACTTCCGTATGAGCAATTCCTATTTCGTTTCCGAAATAAATAATTATACTTACAATATTTTTACAATAAGCAATATTTTTATGCATAAAATGTTTAATTATAAAATAGCATCCATTACGTTTAAGAACTGGAATATAAAAGAAACTTAACAATATGACGTAATTTGATTTATGTGTTTATACATATATTATATTCATATTTAATTTAACGTAATAAAATAAATTCATAAAGTCAAGTCAGGTCACGTCATTTTTATGAATAAGGAGCAAAGCTTATAAAAATATTTCGAAACTTAATTTAATAATATTCAATTAAACTTTTTTTAACAAGTAAATTAGACCATTATGCGATTATATAGTACAGATGGTATTTTTATTATTTCTGATATTACTACTTCTGTCGACTATTTTTCTAAATTCCTAATACTTATTCCTCTTGGTATCTTATATATTTTACCCTGTACCGAGATGCTTACCACTTCGTACCTTTACAATGTAGACTAACATTCTGTAGATTAATGCTTGCAAACTAATAATAAACGTTAATTCTAAAGTGACAGATGTCATATTGAGGTCATTGACGTTCCTGCTTTTATTCTAATCACATTGTAATCTATATTTAGTGTACGTACTATAATCGTATACTAATTTCGTCTACTTTGTATCATAACAATACACAAAATACGTGACTGTCGTTGTGTTCGTATTATCTGATACCTATTAATATTTTATCAGGTCGTCCTGTTGCCAGCAGATCAGAATTTTATAAGGTGTAATGATTACAGCTTAAGGTCCAATAAAATTAATCTTTGAAGCTGA